CCGTTTCTCGTTTTAAGAAATAATTTCTTAAATTAAGAATTTTTTTCTTAATAAGAAAATGATTTTTTGCTGTGCAATGACGACCTTCTGCGACTTTCCTTCTTCGTGGCCGCAGTGTATCAATGTTAATTTCTTGCACAACTGTGAGATCAGACGTATTCCTTATGACCGTAACGAAAATAGTTTTTCCGTGCAAATAAATAAGAATTTGTTGTATTATGCATGTGGTGATGGTTTGTTTGTGTAACATTAATGAAACAGACATGTGCCGAGACTGGCTTAATATATACATGTCAAGATATTCTAATTTTCTGAGATGCCCTGTAGTTTACTTTCAAATGGACGTGTATATATGTGTCCTCCTTTATTAATTGTCCTTCACTCACAGTATAATTATAAATATAAAATTTGTATCGCCTGGAATGCTTGGTAATATGGATAGAAATTTGGGTTACCTAACGTATACTTGCAAAGTAACACAATAATATTTAATAATTTTTCTTCCATCACAACACTAACATATATATGCCTTTCTTATCATAATTCTCGAACAATTGGCATGCATGCATGTAGTATCAAGAATTTTGACCATATTTGTAGCATTCCTTTAGCCTCGATAACCGCTTGCTTGATGATGATGATGATGACGATAACAATCTTCATTCTCTTATTTTAAGAATGATCCTGTACTATACTATAGAACTAGTATTATCGAAAGTGAAACATTATATCTAATCTATTTACATGTGGTCAAAAGTTTAAAATATCATAAAAAAACTATCATTACAATACTTGCTGTACTAGTAGTAATAGTTTAAAAGTTGAGAAGAACAATAGTACACCATGGCCAACAGCCAAACCTTTAAATTGAGAAATTGACTAGGCGTTTTGACAATCCGACTCAAGGTTGTTATAATCATATACAGCATAATAAGTGCATGACTTTATGTTTACCCCAATTTGTCCTTGTCTTCGGTAAGTGAAGAAATTAATTATTTCTTTAATGCATGCAATTATTATGATGTTTGCAAGCGAAGCACAATAAATAAATAAATTATGAATACTGCTATTATTATTCTGGCGTAGCGCCGTCCCGGGCGTAAGCCCAGGGCGAGGGTACTTTTCACCCGGGAAAAGGAAGTATTTACACCAGGGAAAGGGAAGGCTGTTAACCGTTTCAAAAGTTGGGTAGCGAGTTGTCATCTCACTCATCTAAAAATATAGCGCACTGCCAGGAATGGAATGAGCCAGCTGCTAAGATTACATGTTCAAACTAATGAAAACATATGGAAAGCCGTTTCGTACAATGAGCTGTAAAGCGATTTTTTAAATTTTACTTTAATTTAAAGAAATATGACAAGAAGATTATATAAGATGGGAAATGATGAAATATAAAGGAAGTTTGTTTTCTTTTTATTCGTAAACATGTACGTTGTTTTCGGGTTTTCCACTTGCCTCCTAAATTGCCCTATTTTATATTAAAAAAGCTGACAGAATTTTAAAATCTAAATTAAAAGCGAAGAGCGAACTGTATGATTGACCTGATTTCGTTGCAAATAATAAAGAGACTAAGTTAAACAGTTAATTTAATCGGCAAACACTGCCAAACAAATGAAATGGCATATATAATATAAAGGTAAATGAACATTTCGTGAAGTATAATTAAAGGTTGAATATTATCTTGATTTCAAGCTTATAGAGTGAAAACTAACATACCTACTTTATATATTTTAGAAATTGATAGTTCGAAAGTTAAAACTTTATTAATATTTTTTCCGTTTTGCACAAAAGATGAAAAATTAAAAACAATGATCGTGCATTCGTATTATACCATGGCTAAAATGACGCGAGCAACGCGAGCATGCGTTCAGTGGGTTGCGTAATTTAGAATGCTTCATGTTAAAAAAAAGTTTAGCAGAATAAAGCTAAGGCGAGGGGTTTCTGCATGCATGTAATTCTAGCATGCAAAATTAAAGTCAAAGTTTATATGATTACAGTTATATTTAAACATTTTAATGAAAGATACATGGATGGGAGTGTCCTGTTTCACTTAATCGTTTCCATTTTAAAGTTGACAGGGCCTTTGCTGACGAAGAAGATATTGTTTTTTTTTCAATACAAATTTTGCCGCCTTACTTAGTTCAATTTGTAAATCGCGTTCATCAATGATATATTGGTGATGCTTGGGGATTAAAACAATAAAAATATTCTGTGAATTTTACATAATTGTTTTGGCACCTAGAGGAAGGAGTTATTGCCATCCACGCGATGTTGCAGTGCGCTTCATTTGATTCCAAGAACATTTCACGATTGATAAGACAGGAAAAATATTAGCAAAACATACAGCCCTATGTAACGCTTTGTTGTTATACTATAGTTAACTAGAAATACATGCACGCAACGACCCCTCACCTAACGCAGGCTCGCGTTGCTCAAGGCATGTTAGTCATTGCAACACAATAAATAAATCGATAATTGTTTCTTAATTTTTTTGTATAAACCTGCAAAAATAGATCAAACTTGAACACTTTTGAATAGAGAACTATCAATTTATAAACTATATAAAGTAGGTATATTATAATTTTTGCTTTCTACGGGCTTTATTATAATGTATCCCTTACAAGAATTTCACATAACATTTCATATATGAAAATTTCATATCTGAAATCGTTATATGGAATTGAAACAAATTTCATATATGAAATGTTATGTGGAAATTTCATATATGAAATATTTCATATACGAAATTGTTTCAATTCCACATAAAGATTTCATATATGAAATATTTCATATATGAAATTTTCATATATGAAATTATTTCAATTCCACATAAAGATTTCATATATGAAATATTTCATATATGAATTTTTCATATATGAAATTGTTTCAATTCCAAATAAAGATTTCATATATGAAATATTTCATATATAGAAATTTTCATATATGAAATTGTTTCAATTCCACATAAAGATTTCATACATGAGATATTTCATATATGAAATTCCACATTAAGATTTCATGTATGAAATTTTCACATGTTTCAAATGTTCAAATATTAAATTTTATGCATTGAAATTAAGCGAGTCAGGGGAAGTTTATGTGATCCCACTTACCCGAGATTAAACGAAGCGAGCAATGACTTTCAGGTATTGAAATAAATCCTTATGAAACCAGACAAGCAGATGCTAACAACAGATTAAATATAGATCAATGCAAAAAAATATATTCGCAAGAATTAGTGCTCAACAATTACATTTTGCCCATTTGATTTTGCTACAGAACAAAATCCAAAGCCACCTGGATTATGTTATTTTTCCGAATCATTAACAAATGACTTAATATTTCAATACCTCAAAATCATTGCACGCTTTGTTTAATCTTGGGTAAGCGGGATCATATGAACTGCCTATCAGAAAAATCTACCTAAATAAGAAAGTTACATACTATGCAGGTTTCATATACCACATCGGAAACTAGTTTATTCGAAATATACAAATTACAAAATAATAGAAACTTAATTACAATATACATCTATTTAATCTCGGTTCCAAAAAAATCCCAAATTTTGCGTGATTTCCAGGAAATTATCCATTTGGGACATTTTTTGATACACCCTGTATATGCATTACTCAACTAAAAGCATGCAGAAATAAAAAAATCAGGGGTAAGTTACTGGTAACACCATGCCGGGACAAGAGCAAAGATTAAAATTAAGAAATGCATATAATATCATTACTAAAATATTAAATACAAATACTGTATATTTGTGTTCTCTTAACAGTTCTCCTGCTTCTCCAGTTCACATTGAATCTTTTTCTTGCATTCTTAGTTAATTTCGAAAAATTATTGGGCCTATCCACCTCAGTTAAGGCATTTGCTGTCAGCATGGACTAATAAAAGAAATTGTATGGTTTATGATACAGTAAAATTAATATACACTGTATGATCTGAATTTTCTTCTTGTCATTGACTGCAGTCAAGCCTGTACTGTTTCAGTCAGTTACTGCTCACATAGTCATACAAGTAAATCGTTAGACAGAGTAAAATAATACTTAAAGCAGGGAGCATTGGCACAATGCAACTGAATGGATTAACTAGATTACTAGACACATGGGCAAATAGGCCATTTAAGTTACTGTACCTATTAAATGCCAGAGGTCTCCCCTTGACGAGTAAATTGCCTGGTGGTAGACAGAGTAAAATAATAAAGCAGGGCGCATTGGTGCAATGCAACTCAATGGATTAACTATATAGACAGATGGGCAGATAGGCCAGTTAACCCATTAAGCACCAGAGCTCTCCCCTTGATGATTAAATCGTCTGGCGTTAGAAAAAGTAAAATAATAAAGCAGGGCGCATCAGGGCGCAATGGATTAACTTATATCACAAAGAAAAATATCTGTAAACTTACATGATTGCCTGTCTTGTTTTGGTGGGTCTGCCGGTCTCCTTGCTTGCCTGTCTTGTTTTGGTGGGTCTGCCGATCTCCCAGTGCATGTGGAAGGGAAGCCATTGTACATCTGAGGGTTAACTATAAAATGGTACAAATGGTGCATATATTAAATAAGTATGTTGAACACCAATATACATGCAGTCATACCAACACTCTCTCCTTAACAAGTAAAGTCGTTCGGCAGTTCAAGACAAAGAAACATAACAAATAACTAGGGATGCATTTTGCAATGGATATCATATCTGGCAAGATATTGACATTGTCCGGCATTAGGCAAGATAACATTTCACAAACTGCTGGAAATTGGGCTCATTGGCGTGAATCAGTGAAATGGGTAATAATTTCAAAAACCATCAAACCCTTGCCGCGGTGTATAAAATGTAGCCCAGAGGTTGTTACATATATTATTAAACAGATCATCTGATCATGCAAGTGGCATAAATAAATGTTATTTGCTGTGTTGGTGTAATGTACTCAGGTGAATAAGATGCTTGTGTGATGTTACTCTGAGTGTATATCCACACCAGGCAGGCTTGAAAAATATGCCTGGCCACGGTGGGATTCGAACCTACGACCTTTAGAGTACTAGCCCAATGCTCTGCCAACTGAGCTACGCTGTCAGGTCGGTTCCAGTATGCTATATTTCGGAAATGAGTCTACTTCCTTCGATATCAGTGTAATCTAATAATCATGATATTTGCTGTGTTACCAATAACAATCCATCAGCCGAAATGCGTGATCAACCAATCAGACGTTCCCAAAGGCTTCAAGAATGAGAACAGCGCGAAAATTCAAACATTCCAACTTTCTGATGAAGGCTCGAAGTACCGAGTGAAAGCTCAAAACATTTAAACTAGAATCCAGAGAACTAAATAATTTGTAGAATTATTCAATTAATATATATATATATATATATATATATATATATATATATATATATATATATATATATATATATATATATATATATATATATATATATATATATATATATATATATATACACCGGGCAGGCTTGAAAAATGAAAAAATATGTGTGGATATACACTCGGAGTAACATCACACAAGCGTAACTAAATGTATTCATATAAAGTTTGAAAGTTGCCACACAACACATCAAATTGACAATTTTTATCTAAACTGACACCCCTGTATGTGAATAAATATTAATAGAAACTTATGAAAGTACGTACCAGCTACTTGGAAACAATTCGATAAATTCTCTCAAACAATGTTTATCTCGGACATACCTAGGTAGGCATATGAGATTTGAGTAGATGCCAAGCTATATTATTTTATACAAGGAACACTTGATCTGGCAATCTGTCATATACACAACTAGTCTAATTGGCATTACAACAAACATAAATTGATATAATGCTGAGTCAAATGTAAGCCTTGTATAAAACTAATGTATTTATATTGTCGCAGCGAATTCAAGTTTTAAGACGGAACACATGCTCAAAATTCACGAATGAAGATAGTAAATATTTCCTTTCAAAATTGCGCTGTTATATAGAAAACAAAACAATATTCTTACATGGATGTTACTCAGTCATCCCTGATGTTCCATCTTCGCTAAAATATATAATCTTCCAGTAAAATACTATAAATCTTTCGATCGAGCAGATGAAAATTCACTGAATTTCAAAAATATGGCGGTGTGATCGAATGATATTATCCCAGGAAGCTTTGCGCGTGTTGTAGGAAAACTAGGCACAAGTCTGTCAAACCGTCAAAAAGCGCTCATGCATCATGAGAATTTTATTTCAAAATGGTCTTTTGGATAACAAAAATACCTACCTACACAAGCACTATAATATAGTTCCCATGAAGTCATGAAGAATTTATAAATTAACTCAATCCCTCAATCAAAACGTTGGGATCGAAATTTAGGAGACCGGACTCAGACCCGGAACACCTAGGGGCCCAACTTGCGGGCAGGGGGCCCGGGTATGCTGGAATTGCGAAATTTGTAAAGTTAAGGATTTGTTCGGTAAATTATGGAATTATCGGGGAAATTTAGGTCGAAAATTAGTGTTGCGAAAAATTTTGGGAACTTTGTTTTCGGAAACATAACGTCGCCCCCTCTCCTCTCCCCACTCGCGAACATTTTCCGGAAAAGAAAATGTTTTCTGATGGGGCCCTGAAAGGGAAGGGGTGCCCAGATTTTTTAATACCCCCTCCCCCCCAACATATACCGGTTGGCAGTATCATATTCCTGTCAGTTTATACTATAATAATTAGACAGTATAGTCTTTAAAATATAAAATGCTTGAAGAATTAAGTTCAAGAAACTTGAAGAAGGAATATCTTCAAAGAACTGCCAACATTTTACATGTTGTCTTTTATTCTCCTGTAACATAGCGGTTGTAAATGTAGTTTCAAATCGAGTTGCAAATCTATTTATTTGATTTTTTGCAAATCTATTTATTTGAAAATATTCAATTAATTATACACTCCAGTTGCTGAGCAAATATGCTCCTTAAATTAAAGCTCATCTCACTCTTCGCAATTTGACTCATAGATGGGTCAAATTAGATCCTTCGAAGAGTAATTTTACTCTCATGCAGTCGCAAGCCTTCCCGCGAAAAATGAAATTTTGACCATGGCCTTCCATGAGGGTCCTGAAGGGGGTCCCAATTCCATTTCCCACCTGAAATTTTGGCAAAATCCCAGTCCCAGGCAGTCCCAAGTTGGATTTTTATTAGAAATCCCAGTCAATAAAAAAACGACCTTTTATTTGAAGACCTTTTAAGCCACCATGTGTGCGCACCGTGTGGCAGAAGCGGTTGTGCATTGCCTTTGAGCTTTATTGTAAGGGTTAAATGAAGTATATATCGGAAACCAGGCATATGTTCCGCTGTGCATGCATCTGACTTGGGGACACGCATAATCAGAAAAGCCAGAATTCCGGGCGCCAGAGTATGCCTGTTCGCAGGTAGTACTGTAAATAATATAGTTAACAACAGAAATCATGACCAAAGACACCAAAAACCGATCAAATGAAATCGACTCGCATTACCTCAATCCCATTTTCGAGGACTTCATTTCCCATTTCCAGTGGCCAAATCCCAGTCCCTGCAGGAACCCAAATCCCATTTTCCCAGTCTAAAAATAGATCAATCCCAGTTCCAATTACAGTTCGCTATGACATGAATTACGTGTATGAAATTACTTTAATTGTCATATGTGAAATGTATAATTTCATAATATGTGAAATATATGACTTGATTTAATTTTCATATATGAAAATTCACTTATGAAATTACCAAAATTCACATATGAAATGGATTTCATATATGAAATTTCATTTTTCATATGTGAATTGTATAACTTCTTATATGAATTGATTTTCATATCTGAAAATTCTTATATGAAATTACCAAATTTCACATGTGAAATGGATTTCATATATGAAATTTAGTTTTTTATATGTGAATTGTATAACCTCATATGTGACTTGATTTTCATTAATGAAAATTCTTATATGAAATTACCTAATTTCACATGTGAAATGGATTTCATATAATAATGAAATTTAGTTTTTCATATATGAAATTAAAATTTCATATATGACCTGCTTTTCATATATGGAAATTTAATATGTGAAATTAAAAGAGAATTTCACATATGAAACTGAAATTTCATATATGAAATTACCTTTTCACATGTGAAATTCTAATTTCAGGTATGAAAATCTTCATTTCATATATGAAATTCCAATTTCATATATGAACTTTAATGAGAATTTTTTGTAAGGGATAATTCACAACGACAATCTACGACAAACTTTTTTAAATGTGAATTGAAATTAACCACTTTTGCCTATATTAAACTCTTCAACTTCAGCTTCAACTTATTACTCGCACACTCCTTTGAACATATATGTCCAATATAGCCATCTGTTGTCAGGTGGTGAAGATGGTGTAAGATGGTGTCAGATGGTCAGTTGTTTGTCAGATGCTTGTAGTGTGATGTCGGATGGTGTAGGATGGTTTCAGCTGTTGTCAGGTGGTGAAAATGGTGTCTGGTGGTGAAGATGGTGTACAGGAGGACTTTTAACCTACAATTGTGCTTTTATAATGTTGCGCCGTTCTTTAAAGAACATGTATATACAAACACAACAATTTAATTCTGCATAAATACAGTACACACAGAGTTGCCTCGTGCTTTGTGAAAAACATTAATAGCAACAACACAGTGTCAGGGCCGTAGCTAAGCATGCATAGTTGGGGTGTAGGCCAAAAATTTCCGAATGACGAAAAAAATTTCCGAAAATTTCATGGCATACGAAGCCACGAAGGTGTTTGCTATCCGGAAAATGAAAACGGAATTTACAAACAAAAATACCGGTCATATTTTACGGACAGATATTACAGAAGCGTGCAGTTCCGCACAGAAGCGTGCAGTTCCGTAGGAAGTTCTTCTTGATAGGGGGTGGCGAGGGCCGAAGGCCCGAGGAAATTTTTAAATTTAGAGTCTCTGAACTGCCATTTCGTGGACTTTGGGGGAAGTTTTGACAGAATTCTGATGGTCAGAAAACAGAGTTTTAGCACGTCGAAATTTACAATTAATTTGCTTACAATTTAGAAGAACTAAATGGGTGAAGGCGTATATGGGTAATACGATTTTTGCGGTTTGTCATGGGTAATGTAGCCGCTTAAAATTAATCAATTGTCAGTATTTTAAAGATATATTGAGGACTGCCCCCTCCCCCCACCCGTTGCTACGGCCCTGGGAAGTAATAAACCGAAAAACATTTACCGATCTACGATTTGTTATATGTTATCCATGTAAATGCCGTGATTTTGTAAATCAGTTTATGATGCTGTCAATACAATTTTATAATATTTTCTCTGTTTAAACAACTAAAATTTTGTTATACTATTACTGCCGTAATTTTCCGAATGACCAACCTGATTTTCCGAATATGTTAATTCTAAAAAAGTTGGGGGGTTAACCACCCCCCCAATACCCCCCTTCGCTACGGCCCTGAATTGTGCATATATAGTGTTGCCTCCTTCTTTCGAAAACATGTAAACATATGAATAAAACCTACAAAGCCAACGATAAACGCGTTCCGGTAATTGTATAACAATATAGTATTGCCTCATTCTTTCAAAAACACGTTTCGTACATACTAAACTGCAGTAACAAACGAGTTAAATCCTTTCACGCATTATTATAAAATCTTGAACAACGTCAAAAATTGTGTATTTACTTTTCATATGTATATACATGCTTATATTCACTTGGAGATTTTAGGCATTTCCGGGCAGCAAACTATAAATTATAACAGTTATAACATGCATGAGCGAGAAAGTTAGCACATCTGATTTCAGCTTTATAGCTGTAACCCAGCCAATGTCAATGACAAATACATATCAAAGCCAGCAGGGTCAGAATTATGCAAAGTTCAATATACAATAAATAAAAAATATTTGAAAATCAAATTCCTCGAAAATAATATAATAAATAAAATGTTGGACACGTACAGTGTGGCTATACTGAACACGGAACTGAGAGCTTACATGCATGGACTTCATGTAGTTTGTAATAAGACCTGCGGAGTGCGGTGCAGCAGCGCTGATGCACTTGACTGGCGACGACTAAAAGC